CGCGCTACCATGCCCGGCTCATTTTTGATTTATTGTAGAGATGAGGTCTCGCCAAGTTGCCCAGGTGGGTCTCGAACCCGCGGGCTCAGGCAATCCACTCACCTCAGCCTCCCAAAGCGCTTGGATTACAGGCTGAGCCACCGAGCCCGGCTTATTTTTTTGATCTATTATGGAGATGAGGTCTCACCAAGTTGCCCAGGCTGGTCTTGAACCCAGGGTTCAGGCAATCCTCTCACTTCAGCCTTCCAAATTGCTGAAATTACAGGCATGATATATGTTTGTGGGGGAGGGGCTTGAAGTACTACTTCCCATGCTCCTGAGGGTTGGGCAAGGGGGACAGACCCTGGGAAAGATGCTTTACGCAGACTCACAAATATCCTCCACAGATATCCCCATTTTATACATTAGGAAACTGAGACTGAAGTAGGTTCGAGCTATCCAACCAGGAAGTTATTATATCTTTTCCCAGAGTTATTATGTCTTTCCCAGAGTCTTTTCCAGCAAGAGGGGTGTCTATCCCCAGGGTATGGGTGAAGTGTGGGTGCTGGTTCTAGGGAGGGAGCAAGAGGCTGCAGGTCACAACTGGCTCTTTGGCAGGTTTGGAGCGACCGTAGCCATCGGCTTGACCATCTTTGTGCTCTCTGTCGTCACCATCATCATCTGCTTCACGTGCTCCTGCTGCTGTTTGTACAAGATGTGCCGCCGACCACGTCGTAAGCATGCCCACCCCACTCTGCTCTACTGTGACCTCCCTTGTGTATAGGAACAGGCCTCTGGGTGGGCCAGGGGAGCCGACCAGGCCCTGCCTTGGCTAAGTTGGAGGAAGGGTGGCAAGCCTGGCCCTCAAGACCTGGAAATGGAGGGTCCTGATGGAAATTCTCTTTGCAGCGATCGTGACCACCACCACGGCCACCACTGTGGTGCATGCCCCTTACCCTCAGCCTCCAAGTGTGCCACCCAGCTACCCTGGACCAAGCTACCAGGGCTACCACCCCATGCCTCCCCAGCCAGGGATGCCAGCAGCACCGTACCCAACACAGTACCCACCACCCTATCCGGCCCAGCCGATGGGCCCACCAGCTTACCATGAGACCTTGGCTGGTGAGTACCCCTGCTGACTCTGGGACCCTGCCTGACCTCCCAAGCTCCTGCCTGTCCCCCATCGGGCATCCATCCCAGCGTGCACTGCAGAGTAGGCCTCTGCTGCTGTCTACTCCCTGCCATTTACACTGCAGCCTCTGTGCCTGAGGCCAACCAGTGTCCTTTCTGCTTTCAGGAGGTGCAGCTGTGCCCTACCCTGCCAGCCAGCCTCCTTACAACCCGGCCTACATGGATCCTCCAAAGGCAGCCCCCTGAGCATACCCCTGCCTCTGGCTGCCACCTGACTCTATCATGTGTGAGTGATATGCGGGCATAGTTCTTTACTGTCCTGTGCATGGTGTGTGTGTCCTATCTGTACGTGTGGCTTCCTCTGATGCCAATGAGGTTAGGCCAATCCTTGCCAGAGTGGGCTAGGACCAAACTTTGCTCTCCTCCTCACTTGAAATTGCTTCCTAAAATCTCAAGCCAAACTCAAAGAATGAGATGGGAGTTCTTTTCCCACTCAACATAGGGTGACCAGGCATGGCCTGTCACCCTAAGGTAGAACAGCTTTTTGTGGGCATGATGCAGATGTGTCCTGGATTTGGTAGAGCAGCTAGCTGCTATTCAAGGCCATGGCTTGTCCCCAGTGCCCTTCTCAGAACCAGGGCCATGATGCTGGCAAGTAGGCGGAGCTTGGGATCTCACCAAGTTGGGTTTGATCCTTTGGGCAGATATCCCATTGCTCCCTGGAGCCTGGGCCATGCCTAGTAGGGTCAGGCAACCGGCTGATGCCAGAACACCTCAGGCAGAGCCCTACTCCACCCCTGACAGCTGTCTAACTAGACAGTCCCTGCATCATTTCCAGGACCACCTGAAAGTCCACATTCACTCACGGCCTGCTGCCCATGGGGTAGCTTTCCTGGCCTTGCTAGCCCCAGCCCCTCCCACAGGTGGGCAGTGTGACCTCTGTCCACCAGCACACTCAGGTCTCCCTGAAGTGTTTTTGTTTTATTTGTAGCCAAGCATTTTGCCTGTTTTTGGTTTTGAAATGTGTATGATAGTTGATGTGAGACCGAAACCCCTGGGTCCTGGAGGAAGTTGGCCTGCAGAGGAGATGGTCAACCTGACAACTCTCATAGTCTCCATTTCCCCTGACACCAGCCTCATGGAATATCCAACTCCTGTATCCCAGTCCAAAGTTTGTCCTAGCAGCCGGGACAAGGGGCCATCTGGACCACAGTTGGGATGGGGGAATCCCAGGGGGCAACTCTGGCCTAGACATAAATACCTCGATGTTCCCTGTCCCTCTCTTTATGTTTCACCAAATCTGTCTTAGCTCTGTATCTGTTGATGTGTTTCTGAGAGTCTAGGGTCTGCACCCTTGTTTATAATAAACACAAACATTTGGAGCTGCTGCCTCCTTTCCTCCTAGTCTCGGCTGCTGGGATTGGGGTTGGGCTGAGTACTGTTTCTTTCCATCTTTTGGATTTCCATGTTTTCCCTCCTTTTATTGGGCTCAGATGTTTGGCCATCCTGCTATAGAGAGTGAGGGACAAAAACTGCCTGCCTCCCAGGTCCCTGCCAAGGAGGGTAAGAGGCAAGTGACTACTCAGTGCTAAAGTGGATTTTTATTAGTCAGATTTTCCTTCTTGGTCTACTCCCCGGGTATGGCCAGGGATAGTCCATACAGCATGGCTACTGCCAAGGTCAGGAAGGCCAGCAGGCCCAGTGGGGCCAGCAGCCTCTCCTTGGGTAGGGCTCCAGAGCCCTCTCTTGGAGGAAGAGCCTTGGATCTCCTGCTCTCACCAAGGCTGGAACTAGTATTCCTGGCTTTGGTCGGAAGTGCCATGGCTGTGACTGCAGATGGTCTTCGGTTGGTCCTAGCAGAGGCTGTGACCCCATACATGGGCTCAACGGTGCTGAACAGCCTGGCGTGAGCATCCACCCACTGCAGCAGGGCCTGTGGTCTCCACTGACAGATGCTGAGCAGGGCTAAGACATCCCCCTCAGCTGTGTGTGAGTCTGGCGGGGCCTGTCCGTAGAGGCGCATGTAGATGCTGCCCAGGCTGTAGCTCTTCCTTGGGCCGTGCCCCGAGGGGCTACTGGCACGTTCCAGGGCCTTCAGCGCAGCGATGCTATCCACACAGAAGGCGCCATCCAGACCACTGGCAAGGCCCAGCGTTGCCAGCTCTGCCTGGAGCAGGGGGAAGTCGTAGCGGTCACCGTTGTGTGCCACGAGGCACCAGGGCTGGGGCTGGCGCCTCAGGAAGGCTAGGAGCAGGTTGGCCACATTGTCATCGAAGCATTGACGCCCATGTGCTGCCAGCACAGCTGTGCTCAGACCTGTAATCTTGCTGGCTGCAGGGCTACAGGCCTTTCCTGGAGCCACACACAGAGAGAGCTTGTCCATCACACGGGGTGGCGGGGGAACCATGGGGGGTGGCCCCTGAGCGGTAGGGGGGTTCTCCAGGGCACATCTGTGGATGGCCAGCAGGCACAGTTCCGTGACCTTTGGCTGGGCGAAGGGCAGGCCAGTAGCCTCCAGGTCCAAGAAGATGAGGGTCTGCATGGGACCCGGGGGTGGGGCCTGTGAGCCCATGGTGGGGTAAGTACCTGCTGCTGATCCTGGGGAGGAGCATGGAGTGGGGGGTGGGCGCATGAGTGCCCAGTCAGAAGGTCTGCAGCGGGCGGGGTGGGGTGGGGTAGGGGTGGGCAGAAGCACATCTCAGGCCTTCCCCGCTCAATCCGACACGCTCCCTGAGCACCAGAGCCCATTTTCAGTGTAGGAAGTTGGAGAGAGTGGGGTGGTTTCCTTAGCACACTGTTTTTGGAGGGGTTCCCTCTTCCCATGGGCCTAACTTCTCCCCTAGAGCCCACTTAGTCTAGGGTGGGGAAACCCATGGCCTTCCTGCCTTGACTTATCCCCTTGGGGGTCCACACTCACCGGAGCAGGCAGGCAGCAATGACTCGGGTGCTGGCAGCAGCGGTAGGAAGTGAAACAGCTTGGGCCCGCCCACGGGCCCATGTGAGCTAGGCCCGCCCTGCTTGTCAGCCCGCCTGCCTGGTCTCTCCCTCCAGCCAACATCTATCCTTCCACAGGCACCCCGGAGGCCTTCTCAGATCTGCAGCTGTGTGCCTGCTAGTTGCCACATTGTACAGGGGCCCTCACATCAGTGACAGCCAGGTGGGAGGACTGAGGCAGCGAGGCTGTTGCAGTGGTGTTGAGACGGTCCCAAGTCTTAAGCACAGCTGGAAGCCCCTGCCATGGCCCTTTTGTGCCCACATGTTGGCCCCTCTTTCCCAGGCCTTCCTGGTTTAGGCCTGGGCCTGGGGCCGCCTCCTTCCCTGCTATACAATGGTTTCTTCCCATGGCCCCAGCCCAGAGCAGTGACTCAGGAAAATTCCACAGGCAGGGCAGGGCTCTTTCCTCAAGGCAGATTAGTTACCATGGTGATTTGGTCTCAGCTCCCGCCAGGGACAGGAAAAAGGATCCCAGCCTCCCAGGGTCACAGTCCTGCTCCACCCCTCCCGCTCAGCCAAACAGATCACACTCAGGAAACACAAGGCTGGAGTTCTCGGCAGGGACTGCCAGTCATTGATTTAATCAGTCGATGAGGTGAGGGAGGTAGTTGTGCTGGAGCCACCATGTGGCTGGATGCTTGCGAACCTCAGCCACAGTCCATCTCAGAGTCGTCCACATCGGTCTCGGCAGCACAGAGGTCATCCAGGGCTGCCTCTGTGCCAAAAAGGTGAGGGCTCCATGGTGAAGACCTAGAGGTGCAGGGACTGGGGAAGGCCACCTCTCCTCCCCCAACGCCCACAGGAACTAACCAGTCCCTTCCATGCCCAGGCCTTGCTCCCTCAGCTACTGCAAGCAAAGTGATACAAAGGCAATTCAGATGCGGATATTTCTGGAAAAAACGTGGCTCTGCCAAGCCAACTCAATAGATATGAGCAAAAGGCAGCCCAATATGCTCAGTGAGGAGCTGGAGCAGGAAGATAATGAAAATGTCCCCAGAGCCAGAAAAGGCTGTGGTGGATGGAGGCCTGCTGAGGTGACGCCAAGGAGTGTGACTTATTCACGAGCCTCAGGAGAACACTTGGGCTAGGGCAGGAAGAGGCCCTGTCGCAGGCTCACCTTCACAGTCTGTCACGTCAGGAAGCCCTCGAATCAGCAGGCTGACCCCTGGCATCACCTGGTCATACTGATGCAGGACCTCCACGCAGTGCACAGTGAAGAGCTTGTCCTTCTGGGACAGGCTGTGCAGCAGCAGCACCGTATCCCGTAGACACCGCACTGTCCGTTTCTGCTGGTCAGTCCTTGGGGGCCCCCCTGCCCTCCGCACAGTCAGCCACTGTCTGTGCAGCATCACCGTGAGAGCTCTGACTACCTGGGGGATGAGGGGGTGCAGACTGAGTTCTGGTCTCAACACGTCCTGCACCTAACAATCTATTCAGCCTAGCCACCCCAGGTGGGGAGAGTTCTGAGTGGGGCATGGGGTCCTTGCACAGGCCCCCTTACCACCAGCAGAGCTGCCATGCTGCTGGCCCCTGGTCACTCACCTCCACATTGCACTGGCAGTCGGAGCCAGTGACTGGGGGCGAGGGGCTCTGCATGCCAAGCTTGGCCAGGAGCCACACCGCCTAGAAAAAGAACACATTCTGTTCCATCCCAGGCAGAACGAGACCCCAGCCCAGCAAGGGCTTTCTCGGGTTTCTATAAGAGCTCCAGTTGCTGTAGCAACTGCTTGTCTGCACGTGGGGTCCAAGAAGTGTGTGGGGCTTCCCAGGTCAGACCCAGGACCGGCACCCATGTTTCACCACTAACCCGCCCGGTGCCAGGACCACCTCCAGCTACTAGACCCCAAAGCCAGGATAGGATCACTCATCAGGCAACTCTGCCAAATCCCACAACAACCTGGGGCCCACCTGTGTTGCATCTGTGTAGTGTGGCGCTTCTAAGTTGAGTTTACCTCTTTAGCTGCTTGATGAACTCTTGTTACTAAAATGAATTAAAGCCCGCTTTCTCCCCAGAGAAAAGAGGAAAGGACATTCTGGGGTTCTTGGGAGGGGGCAGGGGTGAGCAGCATCCAGAAGCCCTTCTGGGGTTTTTACCTCTTGCTCCAGCCGAAGCCACTGTGTCTCCGAGGCCACTTTGTCAGGCCGTGATGTGATGTACGTGTACAGCAGCAGGAGGAGGCAGCCTTCTGCAAAGATGCCCCACCTCTCACTCAGGGGCCCTTTCTCACCCAGAGCCTGCAGAAGCCCTCAGGAGCCCCCTGCCCTGTCCCTGCCCCATCCCTGCCCTGACCCTCCACTTTACCTGAGTGGGAACAGAGCTGAGGTGAGAGCTTGTCGTGATCCACCAGGAGGGAGAGGAGCTCAACAGCTAGCAGCACACTGTGCAGGGATGTCTCTGGGCTGAGGCACTGTGGCAGCACCTGGAACACACACTGGAACCTAAAAGACAAGGGTCCAGAGAGACATGACACTCCCCAACCCCAGTTCCAAAATCCACTTTCTTCCCAACAAACACAACAGGAAATTAGAGGACGGCAGTACAGAGACTTGGTTCAGCCAGACTTAGTTCCAATGCTGGCCTGGCCAGCACCTACTTGCCACGAAACATGTTTCATATGAATGAGTGGGTACTAACAATCACCCCAGGACTGCTGTGGCTTAGAGATGACAGGCCCTCAACTGACACGGCACCCTACAGTAAATGGGAGAAGAGGCCCGCCCGGACCTGGGATGCCTGGCCTCCAATGCTTTCAGGTTCTTTTCTGCCTCTGCTTTCAAACAGGGATGCAGGGCATAACTTGGGTGTGAGAGGAATGTTTTGTGCCTACCAAAGGACTGGCCAGGGCTCCAGAAAACAAACAGGGACTTGGCTATGGTTGAATCTTAAGAGAACACTTACAGAACAAGAATGGCCATTTTCTCCACTTGTCAGAAAACACAGTCTCCTCTGCTCCCAGTGTGAGAAGGTACCCAGTGTGGGGTGTACATGGGTGAGGAGCTCTGGGCACACTCTACCCTAGGCCTTAGGGGCAAAGGGATGGCTATTACCTAGGAACGAAGCCCCAAGGCAACCATTGCTGCTTGCTCAACCCTTATACCCTGGAGGAGCATGAGGACTGGCTTGGTGGGTGGGGAGAGAGGTAACTCTGAAACACTCTGTGGGTCTGGCCATATGTGTGCCATTCCATACATCTGTAGCATCTGAGCAAGAACATAGGACAAAAATATCCCCCAGGATGTCCTTAGGATGCAAGGACTCACTTTGTGGGGCAAACTCATTTTAGAGCACCTTAAGCATGTAGGCATGGAGTCTGAAGAGCAGCACTGAGTGGGAGATGGTGTCGGACAGCAATGGAGCAATGGCTCAGGAGACTCACTGGCTTGAAAGGCATCCCAGCATGCTCCTTGTAGGATTTCAGACAAGTTTCCCTGCCCCAGTACAGGATTTATTCACTCAACAAACACAGTGCTTACTGTGAGCCAGGCTCTGTTCTAGGTGTGAGGATGCAGGGCCATGAATGTATTACACAAGCCAGTGAATGGAAGGCATCTGTGTCTGGCTTGTAGTGAGCACCCATTATATTACATAGCTGTGTTTTGAATGTCCCTGTGGACAAGCTCAATAGGAATGGAATGACAGTGTGACAAGGGAACTGGTAAAAACATGATTTCTGGAATCCATTCATGTAACAAATATGAAACAACCAGCCACTGCGGGGGCCTTGCTGGGCACCTGAGTGCTGGGTCTGCCCCTCACCCTGCCATACTATACTGCACTACTGTGTCCAGCTCTGAGTACCACGTTTAGGATGGACAAGACCAACCAAAAATATTTAGATGGAAACCAGAATCCAGAAATGATTTTAGGGAACAGGAGTGCTGAGCTCAGAGCTCAGACAAGATATGTCCAGCCAGTAGAGTCATTCCAACATGGAAACTGGCCTCTCAGAAGAGTTCTGAGTGGGAGACTGGATTACTAGATGAGGGGTGGCCTGGATGGTGTATGCAGTTCCTCCTAGTCTTGTGGTTCTGGAATCCCAAGGTTGGAATTTATGGTAACAGCATTCATTACCAAGTTTCACTACACCACTTCCAAAAATAAGCAACCCAGGACTCATGCTAGAGGTAGGGACAATGATGGGGGTCAGAGACTCCCAGCACAGTCAGCTTGTGGGCTACAGACCCTTCCCACACCCTCTGCTTCCTTAGGGAACCCTTTTAAACTTCAGTGTGGTCATGGGACATGGTCTTCACCTGATCCACACCTCAGGTTCAAAGGCCTCTAGGATTAGCCGTTGCCTTGGGGCAGGACACTCTTCCACAATGGCTAACAACGTCCTTTTATCGTGTGTGCCTTTTGCTTACCTGTTGTTCACAAGCAGAATTAAGCCAAATAAACCACTTCCTCGGTTATCCCAACACCCAGCCCCCACTTCCTATCACCTCAGACTCCCTGAACCAAGCCTCAGAATTCACTGGTGTAGATAAGTCAAGATGTGAGCAAAGAACAAGGGCCACAGGTTAGACCTAAAGAGGTCAGGTAAGACCCACAAAGAATCACGACTCCCATGCTGCTTTATACCTGGGCAATAAATCAAAGGAAGTGTTTTCAGCTAATTTTACCAAAACCTTAAGGCACTGGTTCAGAACACTGGCTTGAAGTTGACCTGTTGCTGCAGAAGAGAAAGCCAACAGGTGAAGAAGCATCTTCAACAATGGATGCTGTCCTTGGTCATTAGCAACTTCCTTTGGGGCTGAAGTCATAGCTCCATGACTATGTTTGTGAACCAGGTTTCCTTCCCCAGCAGCAGAATCTGCCCCCGCTCCTGACAGTAATAGGCAGACGACTGCTCCACTGTGGCACACCAGGTGCTGAAGAATCTTAAGTGAAGTCACAGAGAACCCTTCCAGGTTGCAGATTGAATCCTCTGGGCTGGGCTCTACCCCAGCGCTTACGCAAGAGGAATGTGTTGGTGAGTCCCCAGGTGCTCCACTTCTTTTAGCTGCTGCCAAATCCTGCAGAGCCTGGCAGTGTAAGCCGATGAAGAACTGAACAAGGGGGAGGAAATGCACAGCTCCAGGAAGTTGACAGAGCGGGAAGGCCCTTCTGCCCTCCTCTGCTGCATCTCCATCACAGGAGCCTTCATTCCTGGCAACTAGATTCAGTCCAGTGAATGCCAGGTTCTGTGCTTCTCTTAGGGCTGAGAGGGAAAACGACCCATCATGTGAACCTGTGGTCCTGAGGCCTAAAATCCCAGTCAAGGAACTGGCAACAAACACAAGAGAAAACAGGTAAGGGTGGAATGGAGATAAAGTTGAGGACCCCAAACAGCCTTCCTGACAAATTCCTCAGGCTCCCTGCCCATCCCACAGACCTCCCAGGCTGGCCAGGGCCAGAAAGCGACTTGCTTCCTGGAAACTCCTTCCCAAACAAGCTTTCCAGGAGCCTTATGCTTACCTGCCAAACCCTGGTGGCTGCAAGAGGGTGCCAGTGGGAGATTCAGAGCAACTGCTCAGGAGGTGGCAAAGACTTAGAGATGACCCTGTGATCAAAGGCTGCTTCAGGAGCAGGTTTATCAAAATAGAGCCTGCAGAAGACAAGGTGACTCTAGAAGGGTCTGACATGGAAGACCTCTTCTAAGGCCTCAGAAGAAAAAGGTGAGGGTTCCTTGGATGTCAACTATAAGCTATATATTTATATATTATATACTATATTATTTATAAATATATATTATGTATATTTATATATTATATACTATAATGTCCTATAAGCTGCCATTAAACCCCAGGAAGATGTCTGTGGGTGCGGAAGGCTTGGGATGTACCTGTTCTCAGTCCTCTCCATTTTATTTACTTTAATTTTTTTTTAGTTGGAGTCTCACTCTGTTGCCCAGGCTGGAGTGCAGTGGCATGCTCACAGTCACTGCAGCCTCGACCTGCTGGGCTCAGGTGATCCTTCCACCTCAGCATTCCAAGTAGCTGGAACTACAGGCATACACCACCATGCCCAGCTAATTTTTTTGATGTATTGTAGAGAAGAGGTCTCACCAAGTTGCCCAGGCTGGTTTTGAATCTGTGGGCTCAGGCAATCCTCTCACCTCGGCCTCCCAAAGTACTGGGATTATAGGCGTGAGCTACCATGCCCAGCTACTCTCTCCATTTTATAAAGTCTTCTGCTTAAGTCACAGACTTCCACTTCCCTAGACTCTCTGAAGGACCGCCTAGGGTGCTGGTTCTCAGAGTCCCAGACAGTTCTCCAGGCAATTCTACTGTGTGTCACTTGGAGCCACCTAGGCCCCTGCAGGAGAAGTAGGGGTTCTGGTACCTTGAGTGTTTGATCTCTGCCTCCAGCTGTCAGTAAAGCTTTTCTGGGCCTCTTCTTGCTTTGTGGGACCTCTCAGACTGTGGGTCTTATTATCTGAAACTAGATAAAATGTGAATCAAAATGAGCACAATTGCTGGCAGGGCCCACTAAAAATAAAACAAAACGTGAGCACAAGAACACAGGCATATCAGAAACTATTACACATAACGAGTTAAAAACATAGGTTGTTCAACGTCCACCATGGATCAAAACAAGAGTCAAAGCAACTCAAGAGCCCTTGCATCTTTTACCTTCCTCATGTAAAAAACATAAAGAAAGGAGAAAATCAAGCTGTTTGTCTCACTTCAAAAAGAGGTAATTAAGGTTGGGTGCAGTGGCTCATGCTGGTAATCCCAGCACTTTGGGAGGTTGAGGTAGGAGGATCACTTGAGCCCAGGAGTTCAAGACCAGCCTGGGCAGAATAGCAAGACTCCATCTCTATTTTTATTTTTTTTTGAGTTGGAGTCTCACTCTGTCGCCCAGACTGGAGCGCAGTGGCCGCTCCCGGCCACTGCAGCCTCGACCTGCTGGGCTCCGGTGATCCTTCCGCCTCAGCCCTCCAAGTAGCTGGAATTACAGGTGCGCGCTACCACCAGCTAGTTTTTGATTTATTGTAGAGATGAGGTCTCGCCAAGTTGCCCAGGCGGGTCTCGAACCCGGGCGCTCAGGCAATCCACTCACCTCAGCCTCCCAAAGTGCGGGATTACAGGCTGAGCCACCGAGCCCAGCTCCATCTCTATTAAAAAATAATAAATAAAATGAGGCAATTAGATAAACATTAACCACTAACATTTACATGGTTGTTATGTGTCAGTTATTGTTCTAAGAGCTTTATGCATATTAGCTCATTTGTTCCCCACATCAACTCTATGAGGAGGTGATACTGTTAGCTCTGTTTTGCATATAGGGAAACTGAGGCACAGAGATTAAGGGACTTGCCTAAATCACATAATCCAGTCAAGTACTGTCAATGTGATTCAGACTCACATCCAGGCTGTTGGGCTCTATTGCCTGCTTGTAACACTATCCTACATTGCCCCTTTAGTTGCTAGATACCAAAAATGTGAGTGGGCTGCAGTTTCTTAGAAAGGCATGCTGGCCAATGATTTGCAAAGGTTGATGGTAGGAAGAGAGTCAATGTATCTGAATTATAATATAAACCAGAATAGCATAGTCTTAGAGTGAAAAATCTATTAATAATAGATTGTCTTTCTCTAGAAAACAGTAGCATTCCTTCAGTCTGGACTGAGTTGTACAAACTCAAGGCTGGACAATAAAAGAAACACAGGTCCTTGCATACTAGCTATGTTTCTGGCATGGTCGACTTGTGTGGTGATGGTTTTAAAATATGCTGCAAATTCTTTGACACACCTCCTTTCAAAAGATACAGCTAGTTCCTTTCCTCTTGGATGAGGGCCAAACTCAGTAACTTGGTTCTAATACACAGAATGTGGCAGAAGTGTTGCTATATGACTTCTGGGGCTAGGCCTATTTTTAAATAGTCATGGGCTGAATCCAAAGATTTTCAATAGAAAAAAGTTTAACAAAATAAATAAAGGATAGTTTCTGCATGGCTCTCTCTCTGGGTTTGCTAACTCTCAAGGAGACCATCCACCAGTTATGAAGACACCCAGTAGCCCTATGAGAGGCTCATGTGGCAAGGAATTACATGGCCAGCCATGTGAGCGAGCCACTTTGAAACAGATCCTACAGGCTCAGACAAGCTTTCAGTGATTCCAATTCCCACAGAGATAAGAATCCCCACGGTACCCTGTCAGAATTGCTGAACTACAAAAATTGGGAGAAATAAATAAATATTGTTTTAAGCTGCAAGTTTGGGTGGTTTGTTATACAGCAACAGATGACTAACAGAATGACTTACCCTCTTTGCCTAGCGGAGGCTTGCATCCTGGCTCTGTCTGGCAGGGGTGGGGAAGGGACGTGTTAGCACTAAAAGACTCCTTTGTAGGAAAAGATGTTTTTCCAAATTGTGGAGAACATGCTTCTGGCTTTATAACCACAGAAGGGCTTTTCCTAGGACTGGAAAAAATTAACCAGGAAAGAAAAGTAAGAATTCTGCTAAAATCACTCAAAATACCTTGTTACAAAATTTCTAACAAACACAATTTTTCAGGTCTAGGTGCTTTATTTTTTTTATTTTTTTTATTTTTTATTTTTGAGTTGGAGTTTCACTCTGTCACCCAGACTGGAGTGTAGTGGCACACTCCTGGCCACCGTAGCCTCAACCTGCTGGGCTTCGTCGATCCTGGAACCACAGGCGCACACCACCACATTTGGCTAATTTTTGATTTATTGTAGTTTTTTTTGTTTTGTTTTG